TGATACAAAATTTATTTTTATTTAGTATTATTAATTTTTTTATTTATTTATAAACATTTATTATTTTAATTATTTTAACAATTCAAAAAAACTTTTTTTATTTAATTTCATTGTAAAAGTTTCAAATTAATTTAATATTTTTTTTTGATAGTTTTTTTATAAAAATATATTGTTATAGCATTATTTGCATATTTAAAAAAAAATAAATTTAATTTTAAAAATATTTGAAACTATTCTGTACACTATTCTGTACAAGGATTTCAGTTTAGTTTTCTTCTTAATAACATTTGAATATATTATATATAAGTATGTATTTAAGAATATGTTGAAATGCTCACACATCTTATTTAATTGTAATTCTAATTTTAATTAAAAGTATAAAATAAAATAAAGTAAGGACAACCATTGTGTGGAGAGAAGATTTAAAAGTAGAGCATTTGAAACAATGAAATCCTCCCCAAGGAAGACAACTAAATCGAATGTGAAAAATATAGATGGATAAGCATACTATTAAATGTGCTTATAAGAAGATTAAACTTATGTAAATATTTAGTGTTACTGTGTCAATGGCATTGAAAAGCTTAACAGTCAGACAATTCAAATCTAATTTTAGATAAAAAAAAAGATAAATAATAATAATAATATTATAATGAAATGAAGCTTAAAACTATTTTTATAAAAATCTCAAGCAGAAGAAGTTACTTACTCAGCCCCAGAGAAACATACAATTTTGAACTTTGATTAACATCCAGAATAAATATAATACAATATAATAGTTTAAATCATATAATGATATGATAATTTTAACTTAATTATACATTAAGAAATTATAGAATACCTATAGCTCAGTGAATACTATGAATGAATAGTAAAAACGATATTATTGTAGTTTGAAATACTCTTTTGTTCTAGTTTCTATAATTAAAATAATTATGATTTATTGTTATATTTTTACATATAATATTTATCAATATAATTTTTTTATTAATATTTTGTATTGTAGTTCATTAAACAGATATTCTTTATTTGGTATTCATTGCAGCTATTAAAGTCACTAAAATAAATTCATCCGTACCAACACATCCCTAATAATAGTAATGATCCTAAATGCGCACATCCTGTTACTTAATATTTAAATTAACAAAATTGCGATTCAAAAATAAAATAAATAAAAAAATAAAATTGATTATTAAAAGACTATATAATAAAACTGAATTTGAAAGATTTCGAACACAAAAATACTAATAACGAGAAGTTGAGTCGTCAGCTATCTGAAAATATACTCGTATACATATTTATTCATAATATACATAATTTCAGTTAAAAGTATATTAGTATTATTAAAATTAAAGAATTCTATTATATATATATTGTAAAACAAATATTATATATATATATATATAAATATATATCTAAGTCTATATTCAATAAAAGCCATAGTATCTTTATTTGTTTTGAAGTATATTTGTTTTATTGCTTTCAAACTAGATCTGAGCCTATATGTAGGATATGTCATACCAGACATATGCAAAAGAAACAATCAATTAAAATAGAAGAATAATCATTACCAACTCCTTCAGGTTGTTGAGGAGCACATGATGTCAGTAAATCATCTGAACACTTATGTATATGAATATTTCAAGAGAACACTTTTGCTTTAAGACGGAGTACTATAGCACAAGAACTAATGTGACATTTAACGTACAAACTGTACTTTATTTTCTTAGTTATTATTATGCTTTAAAAGCTGGTGAAGGGCAAAGCCTTTAAAAAAGCTATTTCCATCTATAACTATCCAACTCATTCACACCTTGCATTTGTTCGATATAAAATATATCCAAGCACTCTTACCTTCAGTAATCTCTCTCTCTTTTATCCTTATCTCCCAGTGGAGCATTGGGTCTCTACCATATTTTTATATCGGATTCGGTTATTTGATTCGCGGCATATATCACTCCAGGAATAGTTCGCTTACCGTCAGTAATAAGCAATTTGAAATTATGTCAATTTGATTTTCGAAAAATTTACAGAAATATTTTTTAAATACGCAAATGGTCTATTTGATTTTCGTTTATGTGATTGGGTAAAATCGGGATAATTTTTTCGGAAATTGTTTATGAAAAAATAAGAGTAACACCAATAAGGCTAGCACCGCTACTTAACACAATCAGACACTATTCATTATCAACTGCATGTTCTACACCTTTATCACTACTACATAGATTATCGTTAAAGTAGGCTCAAGAATCCTTAAAGCATATTATTTCTATCCAATTTAAACCTAATTCAACGGATTCTGATTTTTAAGCGAGGTCACATAATTTGCTTGTTAATAACTTAGTATTCAATAAGTAATCTACATATTCTATTGCCAACTTATATATCTACACCTTACCGTTGTATATCATTTTCATCACTGTCAAGATACGAATATTATTTTCCAGTTACGGCTCTCATTTTATCAGCGCCATTACATCTATGCTTACTCATGCCGGGTGTGTATATCTGTAGTCACTTCATCTGAATAATTGTTTGGTATTATTTATTTACTATGTACATTAATCGTTTTATGATCATTTCGAGCCACTTCAATCTATTTTTTTAAGACTATTCCCATCGCCCTTGCACCACAACATTGTTTTGAAATTATATTTTTGGTGACTGCACTCACCGGTAAGTGTATCACATGTTCCAGATCGTGTACCCAAAGCCTTTATAAATTGAATTACTGTTATTTTGTCAACAATCTATTTAAACTCGTGACTGCAACTTATCCTGCAACTAATCGTCTTCTCCAACTGGTTCTTTCCAGAGTTAGAAAGAAAACATTTCATGTGCTATGAGGCTAATATACAGAAGACCTAAAGATACTTGAAATTGACCTATATATTATCTTAAAGATATTTTTTCTAATCAATTTATGCTAAATAAAGAAAATATTCACGTTATTGCAGTTAAACGGGTGACAGAATCTATTATTAAAATAATTTAGTTCTACTGAAATCCAATTATTGGCTTAATTATATATTAAAATACTAATAATATGATATATATCGGTAGGTGAAAAATTCATTTACAATTTCCAATTTTTAATATGTTTTACCGAAATGAAACAAAATTAAGTTTCGAATAATTTATAATATTTATCATAGATCCATACAAATTGATGGCACTGAATAATCATCTAACGAAGTTAGGAATTTAATCCAATTTAGACTGCAAATAAAGAGAGAGAAACTGCACACCATGTGCTTGGGGAGTGCCTGACATGAATTCAAAGCTAGAATAGCCTCTATACTGTGTTTCATTCAAGAAATCACACTTGGAGAAACACTCTAATCCGACTAAGGGACACAGTAGATCTTTTCGATCACAATGCATTACCCCTTTTCACAATAATAATAACAAACGAATAATTCCCATTTTTATGACATGGATAATATACCGCTGTGTTGTTTTTTTTGTTTTTTTGTGTAATTATGTATTATTATATATAATATAATTTTAATTTTTTTTAAGTATTTATACAAAAGTCACATTTATTTTAATCATTAACTTTTTTTTGTATTTTTCTTTAAGTATTTAAATTTTAAATTAACCCTATATAAAAATAAAAATTAGCTGCTGAATTACCGAATAATACCGAATACTAAAAAAATATCAGACCTAATATCTCGGTAATCCATTAAATTAGTAACTTCATAATTTCACAAAAACGAATATAGATACATTATTATCACTTTATCGAGTTACCGAGAATGGTATACATCCTAATGTGGCTATACAAAATAGCATATGTAAATGCATAGTTAAAAAACAAAGAACTGAAGTACTACAATTATACATAATGAAAACTATATACAGTCAAACTTCTATAACTCGAAGTAAGTACAATTTTGCAAAGAAAAGGTTCGACTTATGGAGACTTCAAGTTAGAGAATTTTTTTTTTATTTTTGAAGGAAACTAGAATTACATTTTAAGATATTTATATATTTGAAATCAAATAGAGCACAGAAGTTATAGTGAAGTGAAACATTCAGAAATTAGGGTTTGAGATTTTTTTTCTTATTTTCAGTAAAAAGAGATTCCCATTTATTCCAAGCCTTATGGTGAGCATCAGTTGGAGGGAGTAGCATTCGTTTGTAAATAAAAATTCAGAATTTTGAATGAGTCTTCTACTTCATTCTTGGAAGACTAATAAGACATTCTTGGAAGACTAAACAATTTCATTCACCAAACCCTCATCATCACTTTCTGTCCCGCTTAGAATCGGATCCACTTATTCAAAGCTCTGTTATAATGCTCAATAATATTGTCATCTGTAGGATGACGAGGAAATGAGGAAATGTACAAATTTCATTGCCAAGCTCAATATAATCGTTAAGAGTAGGTTTGGAAGTTATTTTATTTACTTTAAACCACGCTGCCAGCGACGGACATTTGCACAGGGAAGCAACATAAGAAAAGAAAAATTAAACATTTGGTTTGGAAAAAAGTACTTCCCCTAACACCAATTCTGAATTCATGCTAAATACAAAAAATCGACTTATAGAATGAACTTTCCCACATTCCTATTGGCACGTGATAATATTTTCATTTGAGTTATAGAGAAATACGAGTTCCAGTTATGGAAGCAGAATTGTATAATTGCTCTCTGAAATCCTGTGGCACTCTTTTTAGTTCGAGTTATAGAAAATTCGAATTATAGAAGTTTAACTGTATTATATATATGATTACATCGAATTATATATAATTCTATATTATATATGATATATAATTATATATATTATAATTATTTATGATATATAATTATATATATTATAATTATATATGATATATAATTATGTATGATTTTTCTGTTTATTATAAATAATCTTTTAATTATAATAATA